CGCCCTGCCCTGCCCGAAGCAGCCTTTCCACCAGCTCCGCAGGAAGGGCGACGCCGCCGGCTCCCACAGAAAGCGCCTTGCTTTTATTTTTGTATAAAATACTTTATATGCATCGCAATATTGCATATTTTTCGCTTTTTCTTGGTGGCAGCGGAAACAGCTCATTTAAAATTAGTAGACGGCTTCAGTCAGGAGAGCCGCTGGAAGGTCCTTGGTGAGGAATCGGACATGGCACGGACTGGCCCCGAGATGCGCCCACTGAGTGGGCTGAGCCGGGGCACCTGGTGCGGAGCCGCTGCTTGGTGCCCGGCTGCCCAGCACACCCTTCGTGGCGATGCCGGTGGCACTTAAGCATCGTAATAGGCTGTTTCAGGAATACTTACCTCGTGCCCTCTACCCTAGGAGAGCAACCATTGCGTGGAAGGAGAAGCCTGGCTTAGGTGACTGCGGTGCATGCCCGCTCTCTGGGGTGATCCGTTTTGGGCCTTTCTGGTCTCTCCCGGGTGTTTCAGGAGTTTCTCTGCCCCAAGCCTCCCCTTCACTTCCCAGCCGTGGTGGGAGGGCAGGAAAGAGCTGGGACAGGCCACCAGCGAAAGCAGGACGCAGGAGATGAGAACAAGCAGTCTGAGCAGACCGACAGTGAGAAACTCCAGTGAACGGCTGTGAGCAGCAAAGGGGAGCGATTCCTGACAAACCTTTTCCCCCAGCTGCGCCAGTGACAGTCCCACAGGCTATCCTGTCAATCAATGGTCACCCCTTTCCCCAAGCTCTTCCCTCCCTTCAGCTCGCATCTGCGCCACTTCTGCCCATCCGACAGTGCCTCGCTCAGCCGAGCGTCCTGCATGAATGCAGGCAACTTCTCTGGCCCAAAAAGCGAGAGAAAGTTTCTTCTTCCTCAGGGAGCAAGGCTTGGTAAACCTATGTCAGCAGCTGCATGGAAACGATGGCATTGCTATCTGCAAGAAAATGCTGCCCCAGGCAGATCATAAATCCTTGGAAACATTTAGACACTGGATTAATGTGCTAATAATAGAAAGGAAAAAAACGTTCATTTTTTCTGTATTGCATGAATGGAAGATTTCAGTAAACCCCCACCTTCTTCTGTCTTGTACCAAGGCTTCTGCATTCTAATCACAGTATCTGTTTTTGTGCATCTATCTCTGTGTATAACAAAACGATTTATTGTAATATAGTCACCCTTAATTTCATCTCCTCTCACTTTGATGATTTTAGATCTCTCCCCTTAATTCCTGGCTCTTCTTCCCAGCAGAAGGTTAAGAAGCTGTTTTCTGTTCCCCCTTCTCCGTACCTGTCCTGTCAACGTGTATGCAGAGGGCCCAATGGTAAGAGAGGCAGCTGAATCCCCCAGCCATAGTTAGAGGAACAGAAACACAAATTTGCAAAAATGAAACATCATTGATCCTTAATTTCCCTGTTTAAGTTGGTTGAAGTGACCAATATACATTGATTCAGTCACCATGCTTTGATAGTTACCCCGGTCATCTGAGCTACAGTAATGAACTACATGCATGTCCTTAATTTGCCTCATTATGAAAAGAAATAGGCTACTTTACATGGGTATTTTGCAGGTGGAGTGGATTCAGAGAATGCACGCTGTCAGTCACAAGGAATTGTTACGGTGAGTCGTTATCTGTTAAACTGTGGTAACTGGCTTTCATAGCTCTGTTCATCATTTGCTTACCTTTACATCTCCCTTTTCTCCTCCTAAACCTAAATGTACTCTTTCCTATCCTAGAATATATGCTAAGGCTGCATGGGCACAAAACGCATACAGGAGCCCCAGGCCTTCCCATGTCTACATCATACCTACGCTGCTCCATTTATTTCAAAAACCTGAAATAACTTCCTCTGTCTCAAGAGTGATTTCTGTTACACTGTGATACACCTGCATGCCAGTATTTCCTCACTCCAAAGGTGTGTTGGGCCTTCCTGCCACCCACTTCTCTCTACTCCCATCTGCGCCGCTCAGACCCACCCTGCTGCCCTGTAAGGGACTCTCACCGCTACTGATCTCTTTTGCTCTTACTTCATGGAGCAACCACCTCACTATCTTCCCTGCACATCTGTAGCTCTGCTGATGTTCCAGTTTTCCTCACCCTCTCCTATTTCACATCAGTGAACACATTTTCTGTTTGATACCATCTTCTTTCTGTAGGCATATAAAGGCTGTCACAACAAGGCGCGAACCAGTAAACGATGGTATCAGCTTCTTATGTTCACTTCATTTTGTACAGCACAGCAAAAGAGTGAAAACCTATTAATCACTGAAATCATCGTCTTAATACCTCTCTAGAGGGCTAGGAAGAGCAGCACAGGTTGTCCGTAGCCAAAATCCTGCAGTCGTGGTTAGCCAGCTGAGGGTCCAAGCGGAGTACGTAGAGCCGCTCTTTGCAGTACGACCTGGGTATTTGCCTTTTGCCAGGCAACTTGGTACCTGGCCCAATTCTCAAAAGGAGCCAAGGGAGCGATTCTACTGTGCACTGTAATTTCCACAAGCGGGAGGCTGTGCTAATTTTTTAGGCATTGGGCATTAGCCCTGAGAGGGGCTGTACAAGTATTTGCAAATCTCATAAAACGTCTACGAGATTGAGTATATGCAATCCCAGCCCGGACCGGCTTTTTAACCTTCTCCTGTCCATACAGTTTCATGACTAATCATCTCCATTTAGATGACGTCCTCAATATATTTCCTAAGACTGTTAAGGCATTTTGATGATAACATCTCTGCTATGAAATACCTATGAAATACCTTAGCCTTGCTATGAAATACCTTACAAAATGATACTTTATTAAACAGCAATGCAACTTCATGTTTCCACTCTTATCCAGTCTTCAAAACATGATTCCTATTTTTCTTGACCTTCACTGCTAATTATATTACGGAGTAAAAGCTTTAAGACTTCATTCTTTTTCAGATAAAACTGGCCTGCCATGTTTAAGGAATTTTAGTTTACAGTATAAACCTAACTGAATATGTAAGGAATCTAGTAAGACAAGTATAATAGGAATGAATTTTTTTTTTCTAATGTAGCAAAAAGAGGTTGACGTTAGGTCAGGATTAGCTAATATACACCAGTTATCCAAGACTTTTTCTCGAATCTAGCACAGTTTATATCTTTTGCTACAACTTAGCTGCTTGAGGATCATCCTAGAATTTGAAGCCAGGTTTTAGCCTAAGAATAAGAATAAGAAAAGATTGTGAATAGAAGTTAGCTAATGTGGGCAATTTTAGTTAATAGCAAATACACATTTTTGCCACCTAAACTCAACTCTTTTTTCCACTCCAAGCAATCTGAAAGTTGCAGTTTAAGCCTTATATAAGAGTACTCTCTTATTTGCTATACAACTGCAGAATTCCTGACTATGTAACAACTGGAGCTGTGTAGCCTCAAGCTCATGAAATTCCTTTATTTTTCTATCTGCAGGAAAAATGGAAGGGAAATTAAACTTCCTGGGCTTCTCAGACCCTCGAGTCCCAGAACCACCCTTCTCCAACAAGCTGTTTGGGGATTTAGCCCTATAGGTCCAATTGGTTTTATTGGGAACTTAAAATAGCCACGAGCAAATTACATTGATTTTACAGAAGCCTGTCAAAACCCAAATAAAACGGACACAAAATTTTTTGAACAAATATTAAGTCATCGCTAGTCTATACGATACTAGCGTGACATTATCGAAAACCGAGAGGCTGAATTTGCTTTAGAAAGACACAGTCATTTAATGCCTAGAGGCACTCCAGGGGGAACTGGGATATGCAAATTGGCCTTGGCTCTGTCCATAGTCATGCAGCAAATCACTGACAAGTGTCTGGTACATCTTTTGTTTCTCTTACTTGTCTAGCGCCGTGCCTAGGAGCCTCATTTATGATTCAATACCAAAGTGTACCACATTCAGGAGAGAACAAAAACTAGTTCCTGCTCTGAGAATCCAAGGAACAGCAATCTTATTTCTCTATATGGTTTTGGAGTTTTAGTCTAACAAGTCTACGATGTAATTGGGTCTCCCAAGGAAGAGAGGAAGAACGAATAAAGGTAGTAAATCATATGACGACACGTCAAAGAAGCCATCTGAACAAACGCAGGGATATGGACATAGGTTTTATATTTTATATTATGTAGCTACAGCCAGGATCATTTGTATTACTTCTGAGTTATCAGATAATCACCTACTGTGTATGTAGAAATACTCAAGTTTGCCCTTTGTCTTTAGTTATCTCTAGACCTATTCTGTCCGGAAAGGTAGGTCCTTTCAGAGAACCTTCTTCTTTTATCTCCTGAAACTTAACTGAAGTTGGTCAAGAGTTTGGAGGGCATTAAACACCTGGAAGAAGGAACTGGGAGTGTGCACAATTGCTTGCTTGATGCAAAAGGCTGGAGAGCCCTTCCCAGCCTTTGCTTGGAAAAAGCTGTTGAGGAAACCTCTGCTCGACCATTTGCTTCTGCTTCCAGACCTCAGCGTGGTCTGGAGAGAGGCGGAGGGGAAAGAGCAGCTATGTGTGCATCACTGCTGAACAGAAGTCACTTGATTCAGAGCTGGCCAAGCATGAGTGCTCAGGACCTGCAGGACAGATCTAGCACTGTCGCTTCGGGAAAAATTATAGAAAGCCAGGGTCCTTTTGCCTTGGAGAGTATTTCAGGCCACACATGCAGAGTATGGAATATGATATACATGAATGGAGAAGGGAAAATGGTTAAAATAAATAAAATACAAGGAGTTTCTGTGAACCTGGCCATCAGGAAATTAAAAGAGGGTTTTATTAAATGCGGTTAAAAGTGGACACAGCAGACATCAGTGTAACAGACCGAAGCTGATACGTCTCTGTAATGTGCTGACATAGTCTTGAATCTAAGAAGTGTAGACTCTTTAAGGTTTCTGTTTTAAAAGCTGCACGTTGATTAAATGCTTATTCTACCATTCTTTCTTTTTTTCTTCAACAGTTTTCCAGATGGTTGCTCTTCTGTAACATTTCCGTCTATATGTTTTGGACAAGTAGTCATCTGTAGCCACTGTTCTCTACCATGCAAACTTTTTTTTTTTTCCAGGAACTGAAACACCAGCGCTAGTCTGCAATTAAACCAACACCAATTAAAGGATAATTAACTTGACTGACTGCTGATCTCACCGAAAGGGTCAGATCTCGTGTTCAGGCACAGCTATGTTCAGAACCTTCCGAGGGAAAATGCTGCTGTAAGATTCTTCCCAAAATGAGAAAAAGAGTGGCATGACTCATACTCATCTGTTATATTTTTGCATTATTGTACGAACCATGTAAAAGAAGGCAATCAAATTATCCAGTGAAAATGTAAAATTAATCTTTAAGAGCATATCATATTATATGACTGGAAAAAGCATTAGGGCAGGCTTTACCAGCCTGCACAATAAGTTTGAATCAAAACATTAGCTAATCTACGTAAAAAGTAGCTTTGCTGTACTGAACTGGGTAATCCCTCTTGAGAGCGTTGGTCAGGGTGACCTGCTTACAGCCTTTCCTCGCTGCAAGGGTTTTGCTCTTTGTTCATCAAGCCAAGGAGAGCTTGACACTGTCAAAGCAACATTTCAGAGAGGAGCCTCGCTGCCTCCCGAATGCCAGCACCGCTCAAACTCCCTTGAACACTACTCCTTTCTCTAACAAGAATGTGTTGTGCCAGGCTTAGAATCAGTATTTTCTTGAAAGAAAAGTACATCTTTAGGACCATTCAGCCCAAGAGAGCTAGCAGAAAGGGAAACAAAGAACTTTAATGGAAAGTTATTTGCACAGAAGCTCACTTTTCTGGAAATAGTTCATTTAGAAGTGGTGTGAAGTCATAGCATAACACTTTGCTTGGGCATGATGCTTTTCCAGTGATTCAGCTACAGATAGACTATGCTTTTGTAAAGCAGGGTAGGAGTAACAAGAAGACAGCAGAAGGGACATTCCAAGTATTGTCTATTTCTAATTAAGAAAATAAAAATCTCTGTATAAGCTATTCACATGGCATATTTCCAATTTTCCTTATATAGCACATTACATGTACGACAAAATGCAGCTTCGCTGCGTAAACTACTTGGGGGCCCCTCCTATATATTGTAACCCAGCCTTCCTTTGAACATGTTCATGTTGTAAATAATGGTAGTGAGGAATACCTTCTTCTAACCCTGGCTTTTAACTGAGAGTTAGGCTTCTAAGTAGTGAAGTCACTTTTGAAGTAAGTTAGTCCTTGCAATGACTGATTGCCCTTAAAAAACAATTCTAAAGTGAGCTCCTGAATACTTAACACCAGAGTTTCTATTTCAAGAAGGCTATTTCTATTTTCCTATGTATAATGTGGTCAAGCTATAATCAGAAGAATTATATCCATTTACAGTCCTCTCTAAATATGTAGCACTGTATGAGATAAAAGTTTATTTTAAAAGTCCAAAACTATTTTATAGCTCATAGTCTGGGTTAAAATTTCTCCCACTTTTAATTAGATGTTTCCATACAGTTTCTCCTTGAAATTTAGAAAGTTTCAATGATTAGTATAATACTGGTATCTCAAGATTTCATTATAAAATTTCAAGATCGATATAAAAAAACCCCTAGATTTTGTAGCTTTTTCGTAGTTACTTACACAACTCTCATTTCATACTTGTATCACATCTGATGCACCTCACATAAGGCAGTTAACCCTGATTTACTGCAACATAAATGAAAACAGCGTTTGGTCCTATATTTTTATCAAAAGTAATATGCTACAAATACAGACATATACATACATATTTATGCCAAAAAAACAGAAGAGCAGCATTCTTGGTGCTGCTATTTCTATTCAGTTACTTAATTCACGGTGGTCTTAGCTAAACAACATCTTAAAGCACACAAAGATTTACATACATGTGAAAACTCGCCAATATTACGCTTATGTTCTTTGATTGGTTAATAAAAATAGGACTCTTCAACATTTTATCTCTAGAATTTTCCATAAACTGAACATGGACTTGAATAACTGTGTGCTTGAAATTATTAAGTGTTCTCCAAAAGGCATACCTATCATGCATTTCCACCCCCTAAACTGTTGTAATCACTGAGTTATATTAATATGAGAATCAGAGCCCTTAAGGATAGAGCTTCAGTGGCTGCTATGACCAAGAAAGCATCCAGAGAAGGCAGATAAAGTCTGATGACTGAACTGCATGAAGCCTTATATGTCACTCAGACTCAGGTTACAATGCGAGGAGAGAAATAAAGAAAAAACTTACCTTAAAGAATTTCCAGTGGGCATATCTGGATTGTCATTACGTACAACAATTTTTTTTTTTTAATCACTGCCACGACCTTGCCTGTCCACAGCCGCAGAGGGTCGCTTCCCACTGCCCTCCCTTCTGAGGCCTAACCTGGATCTTTCACAGCAAAGGTGTCTTAACCCGTAGACCACCCTTCATACGTTTCAGAGGCTTTACAGCTTGACATCATATACATGACAAAACAGTAATACTTTTGTCTTCTACTTCGCTAACATACCTTGAGACCAATCCTGCCTCTTAGCTTTATTTCCAGACGATATCAGGTAGCTGGGTAGGACAAAGGAAGAAGAATGGAGGTCTTCCAAATATGTCCAGTTGTACCAAACCAGGAGAACTAGGGCTGAGACAAAGTACAAAGTTGCTTCACCACCGTGCTGCTGGACAGATGCGGGCACCCGGGAACAAGGCAGGGTAACGCTTTTCTCTTCAGAAGTGTCTGCGGTCACCTTCCTCACCCTGCTCCTGCAAGTGACACATAATTAGAAAAAAGAAAAAATCTTGAATTAACAAGCGTTCGGGAAGAGACTGGATAAATTGATGTGCAGAGAGGGAACATGGCTCATCCGGAGAACATCACCGGCCTGATCCAAAGTCTACTCATATCAGTGAGAGGTTTTCCACTGGTTGCAGCTGGCTTTGCCCAATTTTTCATATCACCTGCAAACACGAGCAGTAATGACTGGGCATTTTACACAAACTTTTTCTATAATTTTCACCCCTCTTCCTCCTGAATGTGAAGTTAATCATATCTTAATCATACCTTTAGTCACTCATATTGGTGCACCCAAGAATCCTCTCTATCTACATTAGCTTTCAGAGGAATCTACCGTTGACCAGACAACATCAAGGAAAAAGGAGTTTCTGAAGTGCTTTAATATCCTCTACCTTACATACGATGGTCAATTAACCTTTGGAACTGCTTTATTTCTCTCTCCTCTCTTAGGTTGTCAGCTCTCCTTACGCTCTAATGTTAGACTAGGGGCGGGGTATAAATTATGACATAATTAAAATGAAACAACACTCCCTTTCTTCAGATGAGTCATCTGCAGTTATCCAGGGAATGTACAGTATGAAGATTACCTCCGGTTCTGTGCATTAAGAGTACAAAGCGGCTACTTAAAGTTACTTTGGAAAAACACATACAGAACAACCCTCATTTATAAATAAAGAAAACCAATTTCCTACTGTTCACGGCAGCTGACTTGAATATCCAGCTTACAAGGTTTGCTTGTGAATTTGCTTCAAGGCCTGCGAGCAGGGCGGAGCGCCACAGCATTGCTGCAGGGACAGCTCAGAAAGCAAAGCGTGGTGCCCAGAGCCGCGCTTGGTTTCTCCTTGGCCTCCGTGGCAAGCACATTGCCTGCAGCAGCCTACATCTGGCATGGTGCTCGTCACCCAGCGTGTTGGCACAACTCTCTTTTCCAGATGAGGAGGCAGGGAGCCAAAGCCCACCTTTTCTCCACCGTCTCCTCTCTCAGCAGAGAGGGATGACAGAGTGCAAAACAAGAGATTCTTGTCCTGCAGAGATTCATCTTTTCACGCAATGCAAGTATCACTAAAAACACCTTAGTAGCTGCTGTGGGTCTAAAACATGCACCACAACCTCTTTAGTAGAGAGATATGTATCCACAGAGATTTAAAGAATACTTTCATTTGTTATACTTATTCATAATGTGATGATCTATTAAAAAAGACCACAGATCTCTATATACTTATTTCTTCTTTTAATAGGTGATGATAAGTGAAAGTGTAAACCCTCCTAAAATGCATTAAATCAATGCCTATAATAACAATGGAAGTGCTTTCACAGCACTAGTTGGCATTTTAATCCCCAAAAGTCACACTGACTTCAATGAACACTACTGAATCAAAATGCATAGGTAAATCTTTGGAAATTTTAACTCAAAACGATATTTAATTTTCAAACTGCCTACTCAACTGAGACGTAACAGTCTACAGCTTCCCTGCAATTTTCCAAGGGAAAACGATAAACAGGAGGGTGAGGGTGACATTTCAACCGTTCATACATGTTCTGCATACGGCATACCACCAGTCCACGTATTTTTGAAGGAAGTAAGAGTCTGCTCAAGTAAGACCCTGTATGCATGCACACACGGTAACCAGCTATGTAGAATAACAGCCATCTCTGTGGGCCTAGGTCATGGCTTGGGTGAAGATGTCTCACTGTTCCATGCAATCAGTATTCTGCTTATCCTCACTACCTGTACGCACAGAAGATAATCTTCAGCAAGATTGAGGTTGCCTCACCTGCGAGACAGGGAATACGTGCATGCGTGAAATCACTGGCTGTGATTTTGGAAGCAAATGCTTCCCAGAAATGGTGGACTGCACAGTAGCAACTAAAAGGGCATTAGCATTTGTGCTCGTCAGATGGTCCTGCCCTCACGTAGGAGTGCAGTCAGCTCCCATCTGTAAACGTTTATGCGTGCTGCCATAGTCTGGCAACACACTTTGCTTCTTGTGCAAGACGATCTGAGGTGGAGCTCAACTTCTGTGGTAGGTTGTCATAAGAGACCTACAGCAGCCTGTGCCGCATGAGGAATGCAGAGTAACAGCTTCTCTGCAGGGTCACACCCTGCTCCTGCTAGCCTCTCCGATCCCTTCCACAACGTAAAACAGAGCTTCCAGGTTTAAGTGCTGCAAAATTGTGAAGCAAATGAGATAGTCTGGCATGTGCAGGGTGCTTTACTCATCCCTGCCATCAGAGTTCCCAAAGGGTGTCACTCCCCAGAAGCAGTGTGCCTCTAAATCACTGCTACACGTGCTTTTTTTCTTCTATATGACAGGATGTGATAGAATTCCTAAAGAGAAAAAAGCAACAACAACAAAAACTGAAGGTTTTAGTGCCCTCCCCCCTTTCAGCTTACTATAGCTGAAATCCTTCTTTAAGGACTTGGCCAAGCCTAGCTGGGTCATTACCAAGCTCAGAGAGTGCCTTAAACTATAAGGTAGGCCCCCCTCTGTGCCTGGAAGGGAGGGAACCCCCAGCAGACCACTGCTCTTTGGACAGGCAGCAGAGCAAGGGGGAAACAAACAGAAAGCACCAACAGCCATGCCCCAAACAGTTTTCTTGGCATGTTTTGTTACTATGCATACAAGGCATTGCTGAGAAACAGCGAGTTACAAACCAGAGAAAAGTTTGCAGCTATAGTAATATTTATGGCTTCGTAATTTATGTGCAGCTTTGTGGAAATGTTATCTGGGTAAATGGCTATCCGAGGCTAAGGCAATAACTTCCAGAAGTGGGTGCAAGGTTAACAGCTGTGCTTAGCTAGCAAGGAGGTCACCAGATTTTGCGTTACAGGCTTGTACGAGTGTAGGAGACAGAAAAAACAATTTCGGTGCCTCCCTGAAGATTTGTTTCGAGTTGTGCACTCAGTCAAGCTCAAAGAACAGCTGAGGGCCAGGAGCAGCCGGCCAAGAGCTGAGCAGTTGCTGCGGCAGCAGTCGCTTGAAACTGGGGTTCGTTCCCCAACCACACTTAGCTGTCACTTACAGCTGATGATGGGAAAAGGTCCAGCCTAGGAATTGCTTTCCTAGAGGAAAAGGTTATGAATTTTATAGTTAAAGAATAACTGTAACAATCAGTTACTACTGCTCTGTTTATCTACCTGGTTAGTGCTTTGTTTTCTCCCTCAAAAAACCAAAACCAACCAAACAAAAACTTTGTCAGCCATTTGATTCCTGTTTGCAAATCGGAAAAATTAGTAAGCTTGGTAAAGTTTTCCCGCTTTCCAGGTGTGGCCTCAAGTCACTGTTTTAGGAGTGGCTGCCTTAGCTTTGAACCCAGCCCTTTTTACTGCCAGCCAAGCCCTGGCAGAAGGGTTACATCTGAATAACGATGCAGCAGGGTTTTAATTAAATGACCATACGTTGCTTTTTCCTGCAGGATCCCTGCTACAAGGTTTGTAGGATGGAGGCTAGTCTGGGGCACTGCTAAGACAGGGTAGTCTATCTTGTTAGTCGGGAAAGGAAGCGAACAAGGAGATTCTAGGAAGGAAGAAAAAGGACAATGTCATATTAAGGTAATTAAATACTACCCCAGGCTGCCACCGACTCCTTGGCTCTGAGCAGTTATGAATAATACTGGGTACATGGGATGAAACTTAATTTAGGCTGCAGTTTCATAGTCCACTTCAAGCTAATCTAAGTTGGCACCATTTATGAAAGAAGCAGTCTCGCCTGCCTGTCTGTCCCCAGCAATACCATTCCCTCTTTTTTTTCCCCCCTCCGCAGAACGCACACAGCAATATTATTTGTCTCCGCCTGGCACGAAGTGGGGCAGGGGGGACAGCCCCGCTGCTCCCCACTGAACCCAAGCACCGCTACAGCCTTGCTGGGAGCTGTTCCTGGGAACCATCCAGGCTAAAGCCAGGAGGAAAAAATAAAATAAAATAACACAGAAAACAGAGAAGAGTTCTGTTACCCGAGATAGGTTAGCTGATTTGAGGGGTGTGCGAGTGTGTGGCTGCTTCCTTCAATGGCAGCGACTGCTTCAAGCAGCCATGAAACGACGGCAATATGCTCCGAGTCCTGTGAAACAGCGGAGCAGTTAAGGCACTTGGATTCGAGACTCTCCGGAGCTGACACTAATTCTACCATTTGCTAACTTAACAATGTTTTATGCTATTGTTATGTAACATATTAACTTCTGAAGGTCACAGCCCATCAGCCCTGATCCACTAGTAAACAGTCCAAGTATAAGCAAGCAAAATATTATTTTAGCTGTGGGAAAACAAACAAACAAACAAACAGCAAAAGACTTTATTTCTAATAGTTAAAAAACAGAAAATCTATTTGACCTATGAAGACAGTGACACATTTCTGCCCCTGTGGAAGGGGAGCTTATCTTTGGATATGATAATGGGACATTGACCTCGATTAATGTTTGGAGTTATTATCAGGGAGCCCAAGCTGACCTCAGCAAACACAAGCAGAGTATGCATGTGTGTATTCCTACTTTTGCTGAAATTTATATATGTTTTCATGACTGTGACCTCACAGCTGAACACCTATACTTGTTTTTAGGTAATTGCACAAAATAAAATGTGATTAAAGTGCAGCAACATTATCTAAGATGCCTACAAACAAATTGCAAATAGAAGAGGGGTCAACAAAGAGTCCCTGTACTAAGGTCACATGCTCATTTTGCAGACAGTCTGCTTTGCTGTGCTTTACAAGAGTAAAGGGATCGTAAGGCCAGTGTAACTTGGGTGTAAATTTTGTCGAGATCTGCTCCTCACTGCCAGAGATATGCAAAGGGTTCTTATATAAACAGGCACTGCTTACAGATCTCTTCTCAGTAGCGGCACTCTGTTGTTAAACATTAATTCTCAGGAATGTGTATGTTGTGCAACCTTTTTGCATGCTATTTGGGGCTGTTAGCAATTTGTAAGGACACTTCGGGTAATTTAGAATCAAAGGGTAGGTTTGGAAAAAAGTTTCCCCCACAAAATATAGGAATACAAACAGTAAAGAATAAACAATTTTTTGTTTGGCATAAAGGTGCCCTAAAGTCTCTGTGTTACAAACATTGCATTATTATGCTAGTAAGAGAGAAGGAGAGCCAAAAAGACACGGATATTTTGCCCTATCTGGTATATTTGCATTATGCAGGTGAAGGATAACAGCCATACAAAGGCAAAGGCAAGTTGGCCAAAAAAAGAGGTTAGGGAAACAACGCAAAGATTTTGGATCATCTCTAATGCCACAAGAAAGCTAGTGTCCTATTTTTAATGCAAGCTTCCGGTCAAAAGCGTCAAGGGAGAGAGTTCTCCACTCCACCTATGGGTGAAGAGGAAAAAGAAAAAATTCTCCATAGAGATTTTAAAAGAGTAAACACCCACGTTTGTCAGCCTCTCCCAGGGAGTGTGCAGTGATAACTGCACATGAGCTGGGCTTTCTTTGTCTTTTTGGAGAAGGGGAAGTGAATCATAAACCCCCAGAGGAGAAAAAAGGGAAGTTTTTCTAGGAGAGAGGAAAAAAAAAAAAAAAAAGAGAGAAGTTATCTGGTTGCCAGCAAGCAGTCCTGCTAGGCCTACGGTTATAACATCAGCGGGACAAGTGCACCTCACCGTCCGAACCACGCGCAGAGTTGCGGGAAGCAGCTAATTTTATGATTTAGTCCAGATCTATCACTTTGGAGCACTTTGACTACTAGTAAGCCCACCAGACTACCTGCATGGGGTCATATCCACTAACAACTGAAAAAAACTATTGTTCTTTTTTTTACGTTATGTTCTGCTTTTTTGCTTATCCTAGGTTTACAGCAACGTTCCTTTCTCTCTAAGAAAAATTACCAATTTGCAGGGTGTTTGGCTGGTTATTAGTGTCATCCGGGGTTGAGCCGCTCCATTTCTAGAGGCTTCTAGGTGAAGACTCACACCAGCAGAGTTATATCTCAAGAGGTATTACATCTGGTATCGCCGTTTCTCTGTGACAGGCTTATTTTGATGATTCACTGGGATATTGCAGATACACTTAAGTCTCGTCTGTGGGAAGTCAAATCAGGACCATGAGAAAATGCACTCATTGCATAAACGGCAACAACACGTGTTAAAACACTTGTGAAAGGAGATTCAAACTGACCCTGGCAGGCAGAGATATCCCGAATATGCACTTAGAGCAAGTACGTGATTATTCAGCGAAGCACAACACCCAGAGCAGAAAGCTCCACGGCCGGGTCTCAGGGCTGGCCCATTATTTTTCCGATTCTCTAACCGCATGGGCAGCTGTGCCGTCTCAGTACCAATTTGGGAGCCTGACTTTTGTTGGGGAAGCTTCTCAAAACGCCCGCAGTAGCAAGAAATTACCTACCTACATCCAACGTAGAGGAAAATCCCTGCCCGCGTTGCAGTGACTCAAGAAGAGCGAGCGCTGCCAAACTGGAGCGAGTTCTAAGGGAGCACCGCGTACCAGCAGTCCCTGACATAAACCTCAGATAAGGGAGTGGCAAGAAACTTTCCTGCCACCAACCGTGAAAAACAGTCCGGGGAAAACAAAGCAGGCGCTTGAATGTGCTTGAAGAACCTGTTCAATCTCAGTAGCATAACCTCGCCTCCCAGAGGGCCTGGTGGCAAATGCAGAAGAAATCAAAACCACAGATTAAGCTGCTTGTACTCAGCCATAATATTATTTCTTCTAGTATTCCCAGGCGCAGACAGCAGCTGCAGTTAAGGAGATAGCCTTAGGAAATAACAACTTACTAGTACAAGAAAGGAGGAGAAAAGTCATTTTCTTTCCTCACGTTTTCTTCGCAGTCCTTGTTGCTCAAGTTACAAAACTGCTATGAAGGTAAAGAATAAAACACAACCTCATGTACTGAGGACCGGTAAGAGAAATTTAAAAGAAAAAAAAAGGGGGGGGGGTGCTGATCCCAAGCAGGGTCCTGCATAGGTTTCCACAAACTGAGAGGTTCTCTGGGCATCAAACTACTGAACACACACAGAGGATTCTGCTGCCTCAGGGCTGGTAAAGCCCCTGAGCAGAGATCTCATTAAAAACTGAATGTGAAAAAAATTCAAGCTATGTTTCATACCAAATCCATCATAATTCAGTACGTAATGCCTTGTATACGTGGTGATGTGAATGGCCAGGACCTACCCTGCCCCACAAAAAACAGCTATTCTAAATGCCATGCAAGAAAACACTGTCAAAATCTATAAGGAAGGGGCAGAGAAAAGAATAAAACAGCTCATGGTCAGGGTTTACGCACAGCTCTTGTAGTACTTCAGCATCTCGTCAAGAAAGTTAGGTTGGAGAAATTTGCCAGAAGCATCATTTTGAATGATTTGAGAAAACTCTACGGTACATAAGGATCCTAAAACTTTTAGGAACATGTGAATTAGAGGTATCAAATCAACACCTGTGCTGATGAATTAAGGGGGGGTGCACCATGAAAATGCCTAAGCAGATGTCTTGATTTAAAAAAACAAAACAAGCACACACCCCCAAACCCTTTCCCTTACTTTATGCCTCTGCCCTTGAAATACTGGAGTCCAAAAATTTCATAGGATTCAGCGGGTGCTTTTGAAGATTCGTCCAAATGGAGCTATTACTGCAAAGGTAACAAAAGGCAATTTGAAATAAGCTTTTCCCCCTCTCCCTCCTGCCCCAAAACGTTCATAAACCTGAAACAAAGACTTCAGGCTCTTTTAGGAATTAACAGGACGAAAGATTGGATATGAACCATTTCTCATTCTGAGATTATTCCAGGCATGAAACCTGACCACCAAGTACCTGTTGCTCCTTTTCCTCCAGGTATTGTGTTGTACAGAACAACACAAACCGCCCAGGCCAGGAGAGCTTTCTAGGAAAGCTGTGCCTAAGAGAAAGGCCAGACCAGAAATGTGCCCAGTCTAGGGCTATTTAGCACCTCAATAAAAGGAGAATGGAAACTTTTATAAGGTTTATCTTTACTTAAATAGTTATAGGTACCTTGGTGCTAACAAAAAAAAATGGGTGGGGCTTTTATTACTTTAATTCAAAATTTTCTTAAAGGTCTCCTGATGCACCTTTTGATAAGCTACATTAGGAAAAAAAACAGGAAAAACCCTGCCCTAAACCAGACCTATTGTAGTGGAACCGAAAGGTCATTCAGTGGCTGTACAGTAGAAATATACTGATCTCACTCTCCTAGTTCGTCCTGAGAAAAAGGTTATCCAAACAAAGCCTAACAAGGATCTACAGGTTGGATTAAAAACCTGGAGAACCAGTGAAATATTTCTTCACAGACAAAAACTTTTGCGTACTTGAGAACTGAACCCAAAACTATTTCCCTTATTATCACAGTACTTTTTCCTTCATGTTAAAAGACATATAATTGCAATTCTTTATCACCATCACATAAGGGGTCAAATGCGAAACTTAAAATTCTGCTAAAGCTTCCCCAAAAGTCTCAGTTAGATGCAAATTACTGTAGAAAATGAATTCCTTGAACTTTGAGGAAGATCCATGGTTTGCTTAGTCTAAAAAAAGTATAAATTATTTCTAGGACATGTGGGAGTTTAATCTGGCAAGAAGATGCCAGTGTAATATCTTCAGTCTATCTTTGCGCTTCCTTCACAGCCAAGTTCAACCCAGGACACGAGACGGGGCTTACCCTCGCGCTCGGTGGAATTCTCCAGCTAAGGCGCCCAAAGTCTAACCCAAACCCTAAAAAGGGGCGGACAAGTGAACAAGAAATCTAACTTTGTTAGACCTGCCAGGTTAGCTCAGACTAGAAATCCACTGAGCCCACTGACCTCTTTCTGACAGAGGCCACCAACTGTGAGCACCTGGGGAAAAGAGTAAGATCAGGACAAATGTATAACAAGAATTTCAGGTGCCTTAACAAAGGTTGAGCTACTTAAATAAGATAATGTTTTCATTTGTTTTTAATTGAAGTCTAGAGTCTTCATAGCTGCGTGATTTTTCTAAAAGTGAGGGAATAAGGGAGAGAGAGGAGGAAGTTTAGCAACACCATAATTAACTACTTAGGGTAAATCCTCCCATCAAATTCATGAGACAGATTTCAGATAAGAAGCTCAAATGAAGGATTATCTTGCTAGCAATGCGGAAATGTTGATCAGCTTGATATTTCCATTCTGCAGGCAAGAGTTCACAATGGCTGCTCACTATTTTCCACAAGGAGGTAAATCTCCACAAAGGTAGCTGATCCGATCCAGAGGGGATTGTTTTTAAAACCCCTGCACTTGTTGGTTCTCAAGCAGAAATAAGATCTGGATATAAACGATGCTCAGCTCCCCCATTTGAGAGGGGCTGCTTGGCAGGTAGATAGCCTGATGGTATGACGGATGTGATAGAGCATACTGCACATGTACTGCTATTATGTCTTAATGCAAATGTTAGTACTGACAAGCATTACGCAGAACTCAAGCATTGTGCAAATATTAAGTTCAATTAAAAATAAAAAATCTGTGTCCGATATAATTCTTTCAGCATATGCTTCACGGCATTTAATGACAAATGGAACTCATCTCAGCCAGGACATTTAAATTTCAAGAAAAAAAGCCCTGTCTGTCATCAGAAGTGCACTGAAAAAAGTATACAGAATTTGAACTGGAGCCTTCTCATATGAATAACAGCCTTGTATACACTAGTTATGCCTGGTGTCTGGGCAACCAATGTACTGAATAAGGTATTTCCATTCTCAGTGTAAGGCAGGTATGTTTTGTGGCATCTCATGCTCATCTCTTGCATTTTATTATGTCATTTTTAGCACAGAGGAAGAGGTACTATGTGGTTATCGATTACTGTTAGCCAGGCAATATACTGCAGAATATTTCAGTATTTCTGACTGCTTTTCTCTGCAGGCACATTGCCTTATGACAATAAACCTGGCCTGACAGATTAGCCTGGCAAAGGATCTTACACTTATCAATGACATTTCTGTGCAGTGCAGTGTGTTTGGACCTAAGATATCAATATAATAGTTCATTTACTTCAGTAGGGTTATTCTGGTTGTAAAACTGAAGTAACATTAAGCTTGCTGTCTGCAACACTTCCAGTGGGGGGAAAAAAATCTTCCTGAACTACCTGTGAGAACCTGGTTTGCCAGACAGATGCACATACACGTCTGATGTTGATCTCATATAGGATGATAATGCAAGCACATGCAAATAAGTTGTTTTCTGCAGTCAGGCCAGACAAGAGCTGAAGTCAAGCTATGATCAGAAGAGTGAATGCTCACAAGTGGGCTCTTTTCATGCTACAAGTCTGATTCCTTTATTTGCTGCAGCGCAGATACTATCAAGGAAATTGGAAGCTGATCGTACCTAGAGGGCAGCCAATTTAGGGGTCTTTTCTGTAAGATACTCTAAAAGAAATATTTGCACAGAAACAAAGGAAAGCAGGCTGTCATTTTGTCACACTGACAACGCACAAGTAACAGAAGCTTAACATAATTTTTCCTCTTGCTAGCAAGGTAACAGTTAAGAATATAGGCTAGAAACTTTTTCTCATGTATCATCTTCATGAACTTCTTTAAATTCCAGCTGCAAGACTGAAGAATGGCTTTTGCTTCCTTCAGAAGTGGTAGAGACTGCTTGAACAAAATCCTAGTTTCAATTTCAGGCTCTAAAAGTAGCTGGCTGGATGGGGTTCGAGGGTCTCGATCTCTTCCCTGCATAACAGCAAGAAATAATCACATATTTTATTTATTTGTTTTTAACAAGAAAGAGAGGATCCAGAAGCCCTTCAAAAAAAAAAAACACAGTACTGAAGAGCTGTTGTTACTGCACTCACAGAAATAGTATCATTCTCTTCAGATTTCATTACTTGAATATGGACTGCATATTTAAACACAGCAGTCAGAAGAAATTTTATATCTTCATGGAAATTCTGACTTCCATTGCTTAACTTATGCAAATTGATTGGAAATTTTGCCCATTGGCAAAATATACTGCCCCTGCTGAGAAAAGAAAAGGGCACTACAGTTATGCCAGACCATTGCCCCATGTCTTAAGTGTCCATAAGAAAGACAGATAGCAATGTTTTCTACCCGGATCAGATTTCTTTAGCGAGGAGGCTGTTCATTTAAGCACATTTCATTTGTTACCCTTCTGTATATTTTGTAGCTACTAGAATGAAAAAAAAAAATCTGTTGTAAACCTGGAACATAGCCCTGTCCCATCTTTAGTCAGATAAAATTCCTCAAAAAAAAAAACCACACACTTTTTCCTGAGTACATGCCTAAGCAGATAAACCTCAGTAAGATTTCCAACAAATACTCGGGAAACTTAGGTATCAAGTTCTCACTGACTGCAAAAAATCCCTTTTCCCTAAGAGCATTGAGATAAGATCACGCGCAGACATCCCATCACACTCAGCTCATGTTTGAGCGTTTCACTCTGAAGCGCCCACATTGTTTCTGAAGGAAGACCTCGGGCTCTGAGGCATGTTAGCC